CCAGGAGTTGGAGGTTGCTGTGAGCTGTGATGCCACAGCACTCTACCCAGGGGGACAGCTTGAGGCTCTGTCTCAAAAAAAAAAAAAAAAAGTACTGGAAATGAGTTAATAATTAGCTATCAGTCCAGGGTCAGACCTTTGAGAACCTCTGCTCAAGTGTAACATGATGTCCTATATATCATGCATTCAGTCAACCAACTGAAAAGCCCTGGAGTCGTCTTGTATTTCTACTTCCTCATCTGCCCTGCTTCTCCACTGTCAAAAGCCTTGCTACTCAGGTCCTGTTGATTCTACTTTTACCTCCCCAAAACTTCCTGAATCTATTGCATTCTTTCCTTCCCCATCACGAGTACACGTACCACAGTCCAGGTCCTCATCTCTTATTTAAGTTCTTCCAGGAGCATCTTGACTATTGTCCCTTTCAGGCTCTTTCCCAAACATCTTCCAACCTAGTTGGGATCGCTTTTTAAGGCTAATCACACAATACTCACTTCCAAGTTACTACTGCACAAAAGGTAAATCCCAGAGATCTTAATATGTGATATTACGGTAGACTCTGCACAAGGCCCGCACCTCCTTAGAGTCTCATCATCACTCTTTCCTGTCCTGACATTTACCGTACATACCAATATCCTTGTACATATATCATTCCCTTCTCCCTTTCTTCTGCCTGGGAAACTCCTCATCTTTCAGTGTTCATTCTTACATGCTCACTCTTAACATGTTTGTTCTTCTGTAATGTTTCCATTCCAAATGTAGGCTGATGATTTCATTAGATATTCAGAATAGACATCAACTTTTGTTTCTAAGAAGAAACTTTCCTGATCTAAATATATGCTATTTTGAGAGTCATTGCACTGCCCCTAAATTGATGGAAAATGTGTCACATAAAACTGATTTTACTAAAAACAGAAGCATTTGGCAGGCGCTGGTGAGTGGAGACTGAGTGGCCGAAAGTATTGGACTTTAAGCCAGGGCCTCTAAAGAGAATAATCACCACACTTATGGCAGGGATTTTGTGTACAGTAGTTCAGAGACCATTAGGCAGACTACAGACTGTGACAAAAGGCGTGGAGTCTCTTATTTGTACAGATTGGATTCGTCACAAATTCACCAAGTCAAGAATTCCAGATAAAGTGTTTCAGCCTTCACCTGAAGATCATAAAAAGTATGGTCGGGATCCACAGAACTCCCATAAACTGCATGTTGTTACTAGAATAAAAAGTACAAAATGACGTCCATACTAGGAAAAAGATACAAGAAAGATGCTTGGATTAGAAAAAGCACATACCCCTCAAGTTCACAAGAATATCCCTTTCCTTTCAGTGAATACGAAACTGAGAGTGATCAAACATTTGATAAGAATCAAGCCCCTGAAGCTGCCACCAGGACTTCCCACAGAGGCAGACATGGCTAACACAGTCTCAAGAGCACTGGAGGATGAGTAATACAGTGGCACCTGAAACCTGTGGAGCAGAAAAGTTAAGTCCTGATGCCAGAACACTTCAGATTAAACAATGCAAATTGTTTAAAATGATGAGAATGTTTTCATTTTTTTGGAAACAGAGCCTCAAGCTGTCCCCCTGGGTAGAGTGCCATAGCATCACAGCTCACAGCAACCTCCAACTCCAGAGCTCAAGCGAGTCTCTTGCCTCAGCCTCCCAAGTAGCTGGGACCACAGGCGCCCGCCACAACACATCTGGCTTTTTTTTTTGGTTGCAGCCATCATTGCTGTTTGGTGGGTCTGGGCTGGATTTGAACCTGCCACCCTAGGTGTATGTGGCTGCCGCCTTAGCCACTTGAGCCACAGGTGCCGAGCCAAGAATGTTTTCATTAAAATAGATTTTAAATACCCCCACCAAAAATAAATAAAAATAAAATAAATAACTGTTTTTACTAAAAACAAACAAAAAACTGTTTTTACTACTCATGTCCTTTTCATACTTTTAAATCTGCCCATAACAAAGGATTTGAATGGATATTCCTTCAAATGAAATATATGAATGGATAATATCACATGAAAAGATGGCCACTACCATTAGTCATTAGGTAAATGCAAGTCAAAACCTCAATGAGATACCACTTAACTCCCTTTAGGCTGGTTATTAAGAAACAACAATAAAATGGAAAATCCTGTTTATAACATGCCCAACAGGAAACTGGGATCATTGTGATGAGGGGCACAGAACTTGTGGCCTCTCTATCAACAAATTCCCTACATGTGAAGAAGAAAAAAACGATAAAATGTATGTGGTGGATGCATGGGTGATTACTGTATAATTCTTTCAACTGTACTGTATGTTTTAAAAATTGCCTAATACATCCTTCTTAGTAAAGCATCACAAGAATGGAGAAGAATCCAATGTACTCAATCCTAATATGAAGCCAGTAGACGATCTAATACATAAAAGAAAAAGTCAAATCAATTTGGGTGGGGGGGCAGTGGAAAGAGGTAGAGGGGAGAAAGGAGGGAGATGGGAAGCTTATGGTGTATGGCACAACTCTTGGGGGCAGGACACAGTTATAAGAGGGGCTTTATCTAACAAATGCAATCAGTGTAACCTAATTCTTTGTACCCTCAATGAACCTGATACAATAAAAAGAAATTGCCTAATAAAATATTGAAAAAATAAATAAAACAAAAAAAAAATAAAATGGAAAATAACAAGTGTTGGTGAAGATGCAGAGAAACTGGAACTCTTGTACATTGCCAGTGGGAATGTAACATGTTATTGCTACTGTGGAAAAATCCTCAACACAGAATTACCATATGTCTCATCCCTTCTACACCTAAACAGATACTTAAGAGGAATTGGAAGCAGGACTCAGATACTTTTACACCAATGATCATTGCAGCATTATTCCCATCAGCCAGAAGGTGGAAAACCCAAATGTCCATTTCGGATTGCATGTGAAAACCCCACACTATACCCCAGAAGTGCATTAATGTACATAGTTACCATTCAATAAAAAAAAAAAAAAAGACAAAAAAACCCCAAATGTTCACTAGCAAATAAGCAGAGAAACAAAATGTGATATATACGTACAATGGAATATTATTCAACCTTAAAAAGAACAGGAGTTCTGGTATGTGGTACAACACAGATGAACCTTGAAAACATTAACACATGCACCGAGGGTGATGGGTTCAAACCCCACCCGGGCCAGCTAAACAACAACAATGACAACTGAAACAAAAAAAAAAGAAAAGAAAAGAAAAGAAAATATAAACATCATGCTGAGTGAAATCAGCCAGACAACAAGGATGAAGACCATATGATACCTCTTATATCAAGTACCTAGAATAGGCAAATTTATAGACAGAAGTAGATTAGAGGTTGCTGGGGACTGGGAGAAGGAATGTGGAGTTCTTAGTGTTGCAGAGTTTCTATTTGGGTGATGAAAAAGTTTTGGAAATAGTGATGATTATTACACAACATTGTGAATAATTCATGCCAATGGATTTTATACCTATATTTACTAAGATGGCAAATTTTATGTTGCACATAAAATTTGTTTTTATCACAATTTAAAAACACTAATAATGTAATACGCCAAATACTATTGAACCGTACGTGTTAAATGAGTGTGAATTATATCTCAATAAAGCTGTTCAAAAGGCTCAGCGCCTGTGGCTCAAGTGGCTAAGGCACCAGCCACATACACCTAAGGTGGTGGGTTCGAATCCAGCCTGCCAAACAACAATGAAGGCTGCAACCAAAAAATAGCCGGGCATTGTGGTGGGTGCCTGTGGTCCCAGCTACTTGGGAGGCGGAGGCAGGAGACTAGCTTGAGCCCAGGAGTTGGAGGTTGCTGTGAGCTGTGATGCCACAGCACTCTACCCAGGTGGATAGCTTGAGGCTCTGTCTCAAAAAAAAAAAAGCTGTTCAAAAATATCTGCCCACAAATATCAAAATCCTTACCTTTTTAAGTGAAAAACAATTATTTTTGGTGCTTTGGAAATACTGGCCCTCACAGCTGTTTCTTGGTTGGTTTCACAAAAGGCACAACGAATTTGGTTGTTCCAAGTCAGTGTGTCTTGTTGAAAAAAACATTGCAGACAGTCCTGTTGAGGAAAAAAAAAAAGCATTTGGTGACCAAACTGGATCCTTGGTGCTTTTCTCCAAATTAACAAGTCCAGGAGATGCCAGCATTACCAGGCACAGCCCGGAGAGCTATGACATCTACCTAGCAGAAGAGGTGCTTCTTTTTCACTTAGTTACCAAAATGCATCTGAGAGCCTACTTCACTTATAATTTAGGAATCAATGTTTTAACATTTCTGGTTTATTATTTCAGAATAATATTGACTTTGCAATTTTCACTAATGAAGTCAGGCTGCTGTTTTATACTATTTGTCTCATCACTGAAGCAATCTGGTAACTGAAAAAATGACCATATCTCAGGGGATGGGGGGGACGGCACATAAAGACAGCAGAATAGAAATAAATTAGACCTGGTTTTGCAAACCATTAACCTAAAGAGGAAGACAAGGCTTCCTTTCAGTAGACTGGCCAGCACTGCCCTTAGAGAGTGTTTGGAATTCCTTTCCTAGCAATTTTTAGCCGTTTGATCTGGGAACAAAGACTAGCGGCAAATAGGGAGTAAGGGTCTGTTATCCTGTTCTGGTGTGTCAGAACTTTAAGCAATAGATGTGCTTTCATAATTTAGGAAGAAAAATATCAATCTGTATAATTCTGCGAGAAGACTTCCTGCTGCCTACCATCTTCCCCTTCTTACAGATTCACATTTGGCATTGTGGTACGGAAAATTAGGGAGGTCAACGAAGGCACTGGATTCTACTCTCTTCTCAGAACATCTCACAGCTTTAATCTGAAATATCAGAGCTTAAGTCCAAGAGTCAGATTCTTTTATATCAAGTTCCCAGTCTGAGCCTACCGACCTCTGTGGTGAGGAAGAGTCAAAGTTTTTTGCAAGAAATCATAAATTCCTTATATGCACCAAGTCATCTCAATAGACTGAATAAACTCCACTTGTTTTTTTACAATGAGGCTTTGTTGTGGAGTTGTATTTAGAAATACAACTGAATTCACAGACACTTTTGGGCAGTACATCTGTCACTTTTTAAAAAAATTATGCGGGCCAGGGGTGGTGGCTCATACCCATAATCTTAGCACTCTAGAAGGCTAAGGCAGGTGCATTGGCTTGAGCTCAGGAGTTGGAGACTAGCCTGAGCAAGAGTAAAACCCCGTCTCTAATAAAAATAGAAAATGTAGCTAAGGGTTATGGCAGATGCCGGTAATCCCAGCCACTCAGGAGACTGAGGCTAGAGGATTACTCAAGCCCAGAGTTTGAGGTTGCTGTGAGCTAGGATGCCATGGCATTCTACCCAGGGTGACAGAATGAGACTCTGTCTAAAGAAAAAAAAAAAAGACGTCATTATGGACTTCTTTTCTTCTTTTTTTTAAGTTATAAAGCAGTTTAGTTTTCCTACTACCAAACTATAGAAACAACCCTGAGAACATCTGGGGTTGGGAGCAGAGCAGATGAAACATCCAGGCATAGAGAGCCCTACCTGAAGGGAGCACTCGTACTCGCACGGAATGGGGAGCGAGAGGACAGTGAAGACTTCGTTTCTGTAGGTGCAGTTCTCACACTTTAAACACACGATGCTGTAATTGAGCTGCCCTTCAAACAGCCGGGTGATGATGGACGTCTCGTTGGCAATCACCTTCCTGCAGCATCTCTGAATAGATCTTTTCTCATATGATCTTCTTCGGTGGTACTGAGTCAAGGAATAAATCCCCCCAAGTCAACTATTGGTTATCAGAAAATACATTTTTCTTAACTGTTGGGGAATCAGTGAGGGTACAAAGAACCAGGTTACACTGCTTGCATTTGTTAGGTAAAGTCCCTCTAGAAAATATGTATTTTAATAGAATGACTGGATTTTGTCACATCAGAATGATACATTACTACCAGAAATCACTCAGGTTTGGATTCAGACAATAAATAGACTAATATCTACTTAAGAGTATATATCACTTGTGATTTCTCATAATTCAGACATTCCCCTTTTCTCAGTGAAGCTGAGGAATGTCGTTCACAGCCCTGTAACCTGACAGCCTCTGACACATGATACAGGGTCCTGGAGCTAGCTTGTCCTGGGAAGAGGGTAAGCTGTTGAGTCAGCTTTAGGTCACGCAAGCAGAAACAGAGGTAAGATAAAGGAATCCATCTTTCCTCCCTCTAGTCTCTTCAGGTTACATCCCCTACCCCTTTCTTCTTCAGTTTATAGAAAATACTTTTTTTTTTTTTTTTTTTTGAGACAGAGCCTCAAGCTGTCCTCCTGGGTAGAGTGCTGTGACATCACAGCTCACAGCAACCTCCAACTCCTGGTCTCAAGCAAGTCTCCTGCCTCTGCCTCTCAAGTAGCTGGGACCAGAGGTGCCCACCACAACGCCCGGCTATTTTTTTTTTTTGGTTGCAGCCATCATTGTTTGGCAAGCCCGGGCTAGATTCAAACCTGCCACCTTAGGTGTATGTGGCCGGCACCTTAGCCACTTGAGCCACAGGTGCCAAGCCAGAAAATACTTTTTTAAAAGAGCAAATTTTGGCTCGGCACCTCTAACTCAGCAGCTAGGGCACCAGCCACATACACCAGAGCTGGCAGGTTCAAATCCAGCCTGGGCCTGCCAAACAATGACAACTACAACCAAAAATCAGCTGGGCGTTGTGGCGGGCACCTGTAGTCCCAACTACTTGGGAGGCTGAGGCAAGAGAATCGCTTAAGCCCAATAGTTTGAGGTTTGCTGTGAGCTGTGACACGTCTATCCAGGGCAACAGCTTGAGATTGTCTCAGAAAACAACAACAACAAAACAAATCTGAGTAAACAAACAAAGAGAGCAGATCTTAAATTCCTAAGGCGGCCCAGTTTAACTAGCCTTGTAAGCTGGTTTGAATCCAGCTCATACTTAGGAACAGCATTCCCGGAGCACACCCTGAATTTTCATTGATTTTAGAGTCCCAGGAGAATAAACATTTTGAACATGCCTTAGCTCCACAGCCAGCTTTAACCTGGAGTTGTGCTTACCATTCCACTTTGCATGCTTCTTTCATCACACTCTTCGTTGCCAAGATCTTCCCCCCTTGATGATAATTTAATGCCCTCAATTCCTAGTTTGTTCTGGGGAACCAGAATGCTATTTATTTCAGATTGGCCGCAGCCAAGGACGTCAGTGATTTTTACTGACCACCCTCCT